CTCAGCCTCCCAAAGGCGCGGAATTACAGGCTGAGCCACTGAGCCTGGCTGATTTTTTTTTTTTTTTTTTGAGTCAGAGTCTCACTCGGTCGCCCAGGCTGGAGTGCAGTGGCACGCTCATGGCCACCGCAGCCTCGACCTGCTGGGCTCAGGCAATCCTTCCACCTCAGTCTTCGAAGTAACTGAAACCACAGGCACACGCTACCATGCCCAGCTAGTTTTTTTGATTTACTGTAGAGATGGGGGTCTCACAATGTTGCTCAGGCTGGTCTCGAACCCCTGAGCTCAGGCAATCCTCTTGCCTTCAACTGCCAAAGTGCTGGGATTACAGGCTTAAGCCACCGCGCCTAGCTTTTTTTTTGTTTTGGGTAAGACAAGGTCTTGCTATGCTGCCTAAGCTGGTCTCAAGCTCCTGGGCTTCAGCTCTTCTGCCTCAGCCTCCCAAAGTGCTGGTATTGCAGGTGTGTGCCTCTGATCCCGGCCTCCTCAGACAAATTGTGAGGACAGAAAGGAACAATCAATGTCAGAATAAGGTTTGAGCAGACTGGCAATGGGACTGGAGCTGGCTGCCTGGGGAGGGCACAGTGCAGCATGAAATCACAGGAGCTAAGGGGTTAGGGGAGGCTGCCCTTTAGGTAGAAATGGAGGGCATGGCCCAGGTGGAAGCCAAGGGAATGGAGTGCTTGAAGGCGAGGATCACACAGGCCTGGGGGACCGAGCAGCGTGAGAAAGGGGTGAGTCCAATGCCAAGGTAGGCACTCTGAGAACATGAAGGCTGCCCCAAGATGGGAACCCAGGATGAGACAGACTGGGGCAGCCCATTGGGCTGGCCTGGATGCAATACTGGACAGATAATGGGCCAGAACCCTTCCATCCTCAGGCATTGTCACCCCCTGCCCCGGCCCACCCCAGGGCCCCACAAACCTGTCCCCTTGTATTTGTCCACAAAACAGTACTTGAGCTCATAGTCGCTGAGCAGGTCATGTACTTCCTGCGAAGACAGAAGCCAAAGGACAGGGAATCACCAGGGACTGAAGGCAGCATCCCGTGGACCAGCTGTGAAAGTCACTTACCACTCCCATTTTACAAATGAGGAAACTGAGGCTCAATGCAGTTATCTGCCCAAGGTCATTCAGCCCACACCTGGCAGAGCTAGGATTCAGTGCCTGGCTGCAGATGCTGTGCCACTAACCAACACAACACACTCTTTTTTTTTTTTGAGTTGGAGTCTCACTCTGTTACCCAGACTGAGTGC